ATAGGCAGCCTCATTAAAAGGCCCGGGAAACTGGGGTTCCTGATATTTGTTCTTGAAATTCTCGGGGATGTTGTCAGCGCTAAGCCATTTCTTGTACTTCATCCAAGTTTCTGGGGGTATGAAAGTTCCTTTCAGCATAGCATCTCGCCAGTAAAGGTCAATGGCCATATATCTGCAAACGAACATTAACAGTAAGTCCCAGGTGAAAAATGGAACACTTTTCTTCTGCTGAGAGGATGGTAACTGGAAATTGATGCCTTGGATAATTGGATAAATCATAACTTGAGCCCGGATCTGCGCAAGATCTTCTTGCCCCACCAAGGCCTGGGTGACTTGGGCTACAACCACTCCTCCAATACTATCCCCACAGAGCACAACCCGGGAATGGTCCACGTCATACGTGTTCAGTCTCTTCAGGAAGTGGATAGAGGCATTCAGACAGTCACTGGTAACGATAGGGTAATGATAGTCTGGAAGCTTCCGGTACCTAAGGAATAGAGAAGAACCAACACTGTTCACAAGAGTCCCTGCAGGCCACCTGACCCTGAATGTCCTCTACAACCCTTAGGAAACCTCCCTCAGCTAGTTTTCAGAATGACTCTAAAAAGTAACTGTGAGTATACCTTTGTTTTCCTATGTTACTGTAAAGACCTTCCCTAAATCCTGGCTGTCCAGAATTCTAACTTCCCAGCTGATGCTTTGCTTCCCATGCATACACAAACCTCATACAAGATCATGCAGGTTGAAAGCTATTGTCTTTGGAAGGGGAACAAGCAATGAGGACAGACAAATGGCAAGTGAACCTACTGGTGGTCCTGAGTCACGTAGTGGCCACTGTGATCTGACAGAGCTGGAACCAAAATAAATAAGGGTAGCCTTTGTAGCATGACATGTTTTGGCAGGCCCTTCATGACACCCTGGTAAAGTCACAGGGGCATAAAGTCTAAATTAAGTAAAAAATTAACACCAAGTCAAACCTAAGTAAGCTCTCTAGCTTCATTGCCCCTCTGTGAATTCAAAATTATTAGTTTTGGAGTTCACGCATATGAACAATACATTATTAGTTTTCCCCTAAGATGACTTTAAATACCACCTCTATCACCTGCATTATAACAGATCCCTCAGTTACTTCCCAGGGACCTGAAGGCTGCTGATGCTGAGAATACTGACACTTTCCTGTGTGCTACCGATTTCATGTGAGTGACTAAACTGGGATAACCAGCATGGAATCACAGTGCTCATAATATTTCTGTTCCCTTTACTGCTTTAACCCATTCTTGAGTCAGATTCTACCCAGATTTGCATACGGATATTTTGAGAGTTTTAAATGTTTTGTCCAAGACAATGACACAGGATGAATTTGATCTACTGCCCATTGGTGCTGCAATGTGTATCTACTGCCCCGCCCTTGTGTTTTTTCAGAAGTGCCCTACCAGAAAGACTAGACTCTTATGCATAATGATGACACCAGTGAGAGTAACTCAGCAGTTCCTGAGAAAAGTAGAGCCTCTTCTCACTTATAAATGGAATGCCAATATGTTTTGCACTGGAAAATGATGCCAGATACACAGAAATTCCGGAGCCAAAAACATGATCACTGTGGTTATCCAGGATTCCAAGTGTGTCACACAAATATTGTTTTTTCAGTAGTTTTGGGGCTCAAACCCAGTGGCTTGTGCATATGAGACAAATGCTGTAACACTGAGCTGAAACCAAAATGAAACCTGAGCTTTCACACTGAATTAAGTCTCCAGAACTTTTTAGTTTTCATTTTTGGACAGTTCAGGCAGTGTCTCAGCATGTCACTAATGTTCCCATGCTAAACTTCAACTTGCGATCCTCCTAACTTGGATTCACAGAGGGCTCTTTGTTGTTCTGTCTGAAAAGCAGCTCATTCCCTCCAGCCAAAGCCCCGAACCCATAAAGCTTTGATTGGGCCACACTATGAATGCTTGCTATATTTGTCCCAAACTGGTCTCTATCACCTCCTGCTCAAAAGATGCAGTCTTCAGGTATTGTTCCCACTACCTGTCAGTGGGGGATAGAAAAGCTATGATGAAAGTCCCCAGATAGTAGATTTCAGCCAGAAAAAGGAAAGGAGAGGAGGGGGAGAAAAATCTCCCCTTTCAGGGTCCTTAAGGCAAGTCCTCCCAGGCATCACCCACTGCATGCCTTTTACACCCCAAAGCCCACCTCTGCCCAATCGTTCCACCAATCATTCCACTGAAATGGCTCTGGCCCACAAGCCAAGTCTCTAAAGATATGTGATTAAAGGTGTCCTGAGCCCTCTCCTTAAAATGTCAAAGTAAGTTTTCACTCATACCTGTCTGTGCTTCTTGTTCAAAGGACCTTAATTATTCCCGTGGTCTTTGTAGACGTGAATTCTAATGGCAGCAGCTCAGATACAATAGTGACCAGCGCTGTGAGTCACTGCATACTGGAACATGCTGACCCCTTCAGTGTCTCCAGAGAGAGTCAGCAGTGCCAGATGACCTGAGGCAGTCACACAGCTGCACTCTCTACTCACACTGGAAACAACGAAGTTTAGACAGGGTGATCGCACACTCAGACTCCAACACGGCTCTTCTTAGTTTCCATCACCTGTCTTCTCTGAACTGTCTCTTCCTTACTTATACAGATGTCTAGGAACAGGAACTAGAACCCATAGCCCCACTGCCCTTCCATCAATTCAAAGTCAACCTTGTTTCCAGAGGGCCAGAGTTGTATTTTAAGATGCCCTCTACTTCATCCCTATGTGGTTGGCATTGGGTACATGTGTAGGTTGGCAGTTACTTAATGACACAATGAGAATCTACAGAACCGCAGCCAGGATCTTGTCCATGACTTTCAGCCAGCCATTTCCACTCAACCATCTCTTCCCACCACATGTTGCCCGAACACGAGAGAAGTGTTACCTTGACTGCTGAATACATCATCCTTCCTCTTCCCTATGTGTCATGGATTGTTTGAAATATGTATCATTATAACAGATATGACTTTCATTTTAATTATTTTAAACTTTAAAAAATTTACCAGATTTATGTGACTTTAACATTATTTCACTTCATTTTGCACTGCAAAGCTTCAGCCGCAAGGTGGTATGCCCTTCCATATTATAAGTAACAGGCTTAGAAATGTTACACAGCAGCTTGTGGGCCACCTGCTCATGCTAGTGCTCTGCCGCTCACCAGAAGTGGAGGCTGCTGCTGCTTTGAATGCAGCTGCTCCACTGTTGGGGCCTCATGCACACAAAAGCCTCTTAGTGAGAGACTCCTCCCTGCTCTACAATCATCCAGGACCCCCAAAAAGTGCTTCTTACCATGGAGAAGCTGAGAACTCTCTGAGAAACTCACCCCACACACAGCAGCACTGAGTCCGTTTCCCGAGCTAGGAAAGCACAGACGTTGTGGTAACAATCTGCAAGACAAGACCAGACACCAATCACACACACGGAGGGCCCCACACCTCTCTACAGCTCCAAGGAGCACAGCTGTGGTTGAAGGGTTCTGTCCTATCTGTACTTCTACTCTGATCTCTGGAGGGACTCTGGCCCTGCCAGGGAAATAGCAGACATTGGCTCCAATCCCATCAATAGAGAATGAAGCAGACCGAGAAAATCAGTTTTATTCATTAATAGTATACTGGGGAAAATTGAAAACCAGGAAAGTATACAGATCTGAAATGGACAAAGCCAACGTAAATCAAGTTGGGCATGTCTGCCTGGAAATATTAACAAGCTGATGTATTTGTATTGCTGAGGATATAAATGATGATTGTATTGAACACATATATTAATAGCTTCCGACAAGGGATGCTCCAGAACGCAGATCTATTGATATTAGAGGGCTGAGCTGCAGGGCCAGTAGTGAGCCCAAGACCTGCCAAATACTCCTCCCACTCAACCCTGTCCAGTTCCTGCTGGTGGCACAGAGAGGTACCAGAGAATCTTCCAATGTCTGCTACCTGAAAGCCGCATCCAACCCCCTGGGAAAAATGGTTCTGGGTAGGGTTCATGGCTTCAAAATCTTCCCCCAAATAACATCAGGTGGTTCCCATGTTCAGGAGAGTTTATGAAGAGAGTGCTCCATGATACAGGCTGAGTGGTGGCATGGCGATGGAGGAGAAATGGAGGCAGAGGCATTGAGGGGTTCAGCTGAATCAGAAGTAACCACTTAGGCAGAGACTCTGCA